TGCTGACCGGTCAACCGCTATTTTATTCTTAATTAAATATTCAACCGATCGGGATGACACCATCATGTCTTATCGCTCGCAGCTGCTTGGTAAAATATGTTAAGTAGGGTTAAGGTTTACTGTCTCAAGGCTGACATGACCCTGTGACACAACCGAGCGCCTCGGTGCGAGGTCACATGTTCTTGATCGCATGCAGGAATAGTGAAAATAGTATAAGTAGTGAGTAAGTGAGTGAGTTTAGTTTAACGCCGCATGCAGCAATATTCCAGCTATATGCTAAATGAACGTCGCCTTATTAGGACTTAAACTGTAGGTGTCGCTTCCAGGAACAGCATAGACACGGTTCATTACCAGACCAGACACTTTTATTAGTTTGATGAATATCGCAACACTCGTGCTTTATGGCGGTACACTTTTATTAGTGTATAGGCCACTCGGTCAAAAGTCCAAGTGCCATAACAGAGTGGATTTCTATGATTACACACTGCCATTTTGAAAGTGGTCAAATGTAACATGTGTTATATTTGGGATTACACTTTCTTAGTAAAGTACAAATTCTAGAACTTTTTGAGTTGAACCCCATGCAGGATTCGAACTTCCACCCTCGTTGAAGTCGCGGTAGCTGAGCGGGTTAGGCGGCCTACTTTGTGTGCTGGCCATTAGGTGCCTCACTCTGAGGGTGTGAGTTCGAATCCCGCATGGGGCTCAACTCAAAAAGTACTAGAATTTGTACTTTACTAAGAAAGTGTAATCCCAAATATAACACATGTTAGAGTGGATTTCTGTTCATAAGAGCATGAGAAATGAAAAAAGCAATATTTCAATTAATATATGGCTAAAAGCAGACAAAAGCTGGTTAAATTTGTGTAAATTAACTGAGTATGTAGCTATTTCTAAGGTTACTAAATTTATAATGATCACAAATTAGTAAAACATGGTAACAATATTTTCATATAGTAGGATTGTTAGGAAATTTTCCCTTATTAAATCATTATGAAGTCGAGATAAGGCTATTCTTACTGTCTTGATATTGATATAATGCATATATGGTTCACACATGAAGAGTTCTTTAGACAGGAACTATTTCGCAGTTTGGCGATCATGTTTAAGTCAATGTTTGCTTCATCTTACAAATAAGTCTCCAACTTCATATATGTCAGCTTCCAGTTAAGGTGTGGGCATACCGTCTATACAATATAGGTATAGTTGCAGTATTATGCTGGTATTAACAATAAGTCACTGTATACTATTTAGGTTCTTCTAAAATGTACCCCAGCTAACCAAATCTGAAGTATCAAATATTTACCGTTACCATATTGATATGGTTCCTTCCCCATTGTGGTAACGTCCGACGTAGATTGATGGTTAGTCTGTCTCACAGTCCCTGAACCACATTATTTTCCCAACTGCCAAGCCCTCTCTGCAGTGCTACAGCCCTAAATAAAGCAAGTCTAGATTTCCTTAGGTTCTGAATCTCTGGTCCTTCTAGGGCTCCTTTTCAATTTAAATGGGCTTGTTTGTTACTATCAAAATTATATATATTCAGAGACTAAGCATTAGTCTAATTGATGGTAGGCATCGGCCACGCCTTGAAGTTGCATGCTGCAAACCTGCCCTGATAGACTTTGTGTGACACACCTTTGAAGTACCAATCACCAGGCAGTAAGGCAATACATTTTACCATGCAATGAAATAGGTCAGATGAATACGAAGTAGTACCTAAAAAGATAAGGTATGTACTTAAATAATTAAAGTAATAAAACAATTGAAATAATAAAACATCGATCACACATGGCTGCTTTCTATTTTATTGCCCACAGGGTACTACCAATTATACGCTTTGTGGAGAAAGTAGTTATTGAATACAACATTCAGTTGTATATAGTTAGAAAAATACTAAGATTTTACAACTTTTAAGAAACAGTGTTACCAATAGCTTGACCCTTCATTAATGACGCCGAGTATATATTTCACAATTCATAAATGTATTTTGAATTTTTTAACAATGCAACTCCGTTCCTGCTTTGGATCTACATTTTATCAGCTACTTTGTTTGTATAGAGTGCTATGTCCCTCTACCCTTCTGACGAGGAGATCCTCAACAGTACATGCGAGTATACCTGCACTGACACATACACCTTTGAAGCTCCAAACAGTACCGAAATACATTTTACCGTGAAATAAATTAGGCCAGATGAATTACCCAAATGGATTTGTCGATTATGTACTTTAAATAATTAAAGCAATAGAATAATTAAAATAATTAAACACCGATCACACATTGCTGCTTTCTATTATATTGCCAATAGGGTACTACCAGTAATACGCTAAGGGGAGAAAGAAGGTATTAAAAGTCAGTCGACTAGAAATAAGTTGGAACCTAACGGTATAGGCAATGGACCTTTCGAACCATGGGAAGTATTAAATGAGGACTTTACAGTGTTGCATGATGTAGAAACATTAAAACATGAATTGGTCCTAAAACACTTAGTTTGTGAGTTAATCCAGTGGGAGCTAGGTGACCTGCTGAGTCCACGTACCGAGTTGATTATTGTGTGCTGATGTTGGTACTTTAGTGGAGCTAGGTGACCCGGTGAGTCCACGTACGAGTTGATTATTGTGTACTGATGTTGGTACTTTAGTGGAGCTAGGTGACCCGGTGAGTCCACGTACCGAGTTGATTATTGTGTGCTGATTTTGGTACTTTAGTGGAGCTAGGTGACCCGGTGAGTCCACGTACGAGTTGATTATTGTGTACTGATGTTGGTACTTTAGTGGAGCTAGGTGACCCGGTGAGTCCACGTACCGAGTTGATTATTGTGTGCTGATTTTGGTACTTTAGTGGAGCTAGGTGACCCGGTGAGTCCACGTACGAGTTGATTATTGTGTGCTGATGTTGGTACTTTAGTGGAGCAAGGTGGTTTTCCATTCCTCTATATTCATTAGCGGTTTGGTGTTGCAGCTCAAACGTTAGGTCATTTCACTGTTTTGGTTCCTCTTTGGCACTTCAGTGAAGCGGAAGACGTTTGGATTTGTGTGTTTCCAAGAGTGAGTGAGCGAGTTTAGTTTTACGCCGCACTCAGCAATATTCCAACTATATGGCGGCGGTCTGTAAATAATCGGGTCTGGACCAGACAATCCAGTGATCAACAGCATGAACATAGATCTGCGCAATTGGGAACGGATGACATGTGTCAACCAAGTCAGCGAGCTTGACCACCCGATCCCGTTAGTCACCTCTTACGACAAGCATGAGTTACTGAAGATCAATATTCTAACCCGGACCTTCACGGGTGTGTTTCCAAGGACTGTTCCAGGCTTCTTTTAGATATATTATCCAAACTGTCATGTAACGTCTTGTAAAGTTTCAACAAGCACAAAAATGCGCTAAACGTATAACCCCATTTGTCCCTATCGCCTACGTCAATACGCTTTGAAGATTTTGTCCAAAGATGCGTTAATCCCAACAACGCAGTTACACATGAAACCAGTTTTGTATCACGCTTCGTGCACTTGGTAACGGAAATGTGATTAGATATCTGTACATACTGGTTACACTAGACCAAATCAGATTTCGTAGTAGCTTTCAGCGCAGGTTGAATCATCAGAGAGATGTGATTGGATGATTTTGTGTCAGATTTTTGTGTTATGTAAATGCACACCGATCCAGTAACAACTGACCGTATTTTGTAATATTTAGTGCTGTCTGTTTTAAAAAAAGATGTCTTATGCTGAATTTGACTACAAGTATTTTCTAGCGGATGACATTTTGTGTGGAACTGGGGTCGGTCTATTTAGATTCCTGTACTCTTTAAGGCCAGACTATGTACACATGTACATGCAATAGCTGTTTTTTATTGAAACTTATAAATATTTGGTTTTGTGTCGCCTAGACTACTGGCAAACAAGGATGAATTGAGCACCTGGCAATTGACCTGTATTAACATGCATGAGTGCCGCCCACTGGAACTTGCCATTGTTACAGAAGGGGCCCCAGGTTGTCCGCGATCAAGTGTAGTGCGACTTGCTACACCGACCAGAGAGTCTTATGAGCAAGGCGTGTGCAGCTACACGTGGAATCAAATTCATCGTCACGTGCACTAGCCGACATCTGCTCTACCTTCCACAAACCACATGGGTTCGCTCATTGCCGTGCACCGCCTACTTCTCGTAAACGCGTTCTCTGCGCCGGTCCAACTTGTCCTTGTTTGCCAGTATGAGAACAGTCTCTCTGATAAGAACGCCCCCAATAGAACTATTCAACTGTGAGTATAATTATGAGAAATCCCAACTTCACTGACTGAGAATTGACTTTGAAACTATTGTCTGTGTATATCATGGGTTATAACACGTGTGGACTCTCGTGGAATTGTGTTATAACTCGTGCGGAATCTCGTAGAATTGTGTTATAACAAATGTGGAATGTCGTGGAATTGTGTTATAGCACGTGTGGAATATCGTGGAATTGAGTTATAACACGTGTGGAGTCTCGTGGAATTGTGTTATGACACATGTGGAATCTCGTGGAATTGTGTTATAACACGTGTGGAATCTCGGGTTATTATTGCCCAGTTATGTGTACATATATAAGCCACTTTATACGGTTCAGTAACCTAAGTAACACAGAAAATATGATTATATTCAAGAATCATTTATTCAGATAGGCATGACAACACATGACTAGGAGATCTACATCACTCCTTGAAAATAGTAAATGTATCTCAACATATACGAAAGATGTAACACCAGAGACTAAACATTCGAAACATCTTAACTGCAGAAGAAACGTAGTTTGATTTGGTCACCTCGAGATTGTAGTTCTACAAAACATATTTCTGTAAGGTTTCATGGATAATATATTTACAACAGGACAGATAGACAGCACACATGTTTCCGGAGAAGTAAGTAAAGGTATCAAACAATATAAAATTCTTAAAAAGCATCCCCCATAAATCCACCATCCATAACCCCAGTGATCCCAATACACCTATGGCTTATGTCTAGTAATACTGGTAGCCGCTCTTGGAGCCTCCGAAACCACCAGCAAGGCCACGGCCGTATCCAACGCCGACGACGCCATTTCCGACTCCGAACCCCCCGAATCCCTTTCCGACACCAACTCCATGGCCGACACCAACGTCATGTCCAACTCCGAAGCCGTTGTTGTAGGGGGTTCCGTGTTGAGTGGCGGCGGCGTGGTTGGTAGCAGCGCCGTGTGCATTAGCATGGGCATTGGAATTGGAGCCATAGTTGTTGTGGGCGTAGTTGTTGAGGACGTTGGCGCGGGCAGCAGCAGCGTTGTTGTAGTCGTTGTATTTAGAAGCAGCGGCGTTGTTGCTGTCTCCGGCAGCTTTAGCAGCGCCCTGGCTGTAGTAGTTCGATTTCTTAGCAGCGTTGCCGTTGGCGGCCTGAGCGACGTCATTGTATTTGTAGGCGTTATCAGCGTTGTTGGCGGCGTATTTGTCGTTGTTGTGGGCTGCTGCGTTGGCGGCGTCGTTGTAATACCTCTGAGCGTAGTTGTTGGCATTAGAGTGGGCAGCGTTAGCGTTCTGGGCAAAGTTATCCTTGTAGTCCTTCTTGTTGTAGTTGAGGCGTTCGTAGTTGTTACCGCCGGCGTTGTTGTGGTGGTGGAACTTCTTGACCAGATGATGTTTCTTGGCAGCGTCGTTGTAATTGCGTCTGTAGTTGTCCTTGGCGTAGGCAGAGTTGGCACTGTCGGCGGCAGCAGCTTGAGCATTGTAAAGGTTGGCAGCATCAGCACCGGCGTGGTCGTATCCGTGTCTGTCAGATGCAGCAGCATCGGTGTTGGATCTGTAGGCGTTGTTCTTGTCAGCAGCAGCACCGGATTTGTAGTAGTCGTTGCCTTGAGCGTTGTTGTAGCCGTTCCTGTGGTAGGCAGCGCCGGCATTGTTTCTCTGGTAATCATTCAGGTGAGATCCATATTTACCATTCCTGACATTGGCAGCATTGGCAGCGGAATCATAATGGTTGGCGTGTTGACCCTGGGCGGCGTTGTCGTACAGACCGTGTCCGTTCTGACCATATTGTTGACCATATTGCTGACCGTATTGTTGACCATATTGTTGACCTTTGCCGTAACCGTTGCCGTAGTTGTTCCCGTAACCGTTGCCTTTTCCGACACCTCCAGTGCCTACGACACCAGAGAATCCGCGTGTTCCGTAGACGCCGTGGTTGCCGTGTCCAGCGAGGTTGTGTGCAGCTTGTGCAGCGGCGTTAGCGACGCTGTTTCTGTCGTAGACGGCGTTCTTTTTGGCGAAGTTGTCGTACTGATCTTTGGAAGCGTCGTGAGCGTTGTCGTAGTATTTGTTGCTTCCAGCAGCTTCGCTCAACTTGGCAGCAGCGGCGTGGTTAGCAGCACCGTTGTTGGCAGCGTGGCTGGTTGCGGCACCGTATTTACCGTTTCCGTATTGCTTTGCTGCAGCGCCATGTCCGTACCCATTGCCCTTCTGAGCGTGTGCGGCATCGGCGGCGTATTTTTTGTTGGCGTGGTCGCGGCTGGCGTAGTTGGCGGCTCCACTGTGATCACGGTAGTCGCCGAGGTTGTGAGCACTGCTTGTGTCAAGGATTTCGTAGTCACCATCCTCGTTGGAGTTTTTGTTGTATTTCTTGTCGAAGCCGTAGTTGACATCGGTGTTGAAAACGTCCCCCTTGTTGTAGTAGTTGTTGTTGGCGTGGTTGTTGTAAGCAGCAGCTCTTGCGGCGTTGTCTTTCCTGTCGTAGTGGTTGGCGGCGGCGTCGTGGTAGCCGGCTTTGTTGGCGTGTCCGGCGTCACCGTAAGCGTTATTGGCGTGGGCGGCGGCCTTGTTTCCGTAATAGTTGGAGGCAGCGTCTCCCTTGGCGCCGGCTTTATCAGCTGCTTTGTAGTAGTTGCTGCCGTGGCTGGCGTAGTTGTTGGCAGCTTTGTTGTAGTTGTTGGCGGCGTTGTCGTATGTGTTGTATTTCTGGTCAGTGTTTTGATTAGCGTATTGTCCTTTCCCGTAGTTGTTGACGCCGGCTGACAGGTGGCCGTTGTTGGCGGCGGCGCCATAGTTGTCGAGGTAGTCGCATGTGGCAGCAGCCACACAGATGGCGATGACGGCAATGGAGAAACTCTGAAAACAGAATATACACACTTGCTTTAACTTTGAATATCTGTTTGAGTGGCTCTCAGAATCTACAAGCATTTAATTAAAAATTACAATTCAGGTATCACCTGTACAAAAGCCGCTGATGGGTATGTCGCCATCATTCACATCATCAGTGTTTATAGTATGGGGGGGAGATAATTTGCATACACATTTTGAAACTGAGCGAACTACTGAAATAGGAAGCAAGACGTTTCAACTGTATCTTACCTTCATCTTGACTCCCACAGGTGTTTCTCTGTCTGGAGATGAGATCCAAGTGTGGAGACTCGCCGGCAGTGTCCGTCTTTTAAAGCACAAACCATTTCCCATTAAACTTCACGAGACGCTGATAACGGTAACTGTGCGATCCGCTTCGCTGGACACTCAAGTCTATTGTCGTAAAGTTATAATTATTCAACAACAGCAACAACATCAACATGCCTTTGTTTATGGATTATAAAATAGGAGATGACCCATATACTAAGTAATACAGAAATAGACACCCCACCACCACCACCAAAATACACACCCCTATAAAAAATTAAATGAAATAAAACAAGAGTACATGGCACGTTTTGTGGATAACGTTTTTTGGCACGGCGTTTCAGAGCTGATTCTTGCTCCTTCGTCAGTTGAACGTCGTGTCAGTACAATGAATGAATATATATATATAGATTAAAACATGTTTACACACAAGCATAATTTATACCGAAACAAACGCAAACATCGGCAAAAACGCAAAGACAAAAGAAATGTACTACTATATCCTAGAAAAAGGTGCCCTGATGCCTGCTACTATATTTTCACTAACTCCACACTACCCTTCCCTCCACTACCACTATCTCTACCGCTACTTTACCTCTACCCTTTTCTCTGGTACTTCTTTACTATCTACCTGTCCTTCTGTTATCCCTGCCTCTTCTTCAACCTCTACTTCTCCTACCTCTGTTCTACCTTATCCCAACTTTTCTTTCTACCTCTACACCGGCCTGTCCTTCTACTGTTATCCCTGTCTCTTCTTCTACCTCTACTTCTCCTACCTCTGTTCTACCCTATCCCAACTTTTATTTCTACCTCTACATCTACCTGTCCTTCTACTGTTATGCAACCCGTGAAGATCCGGGTTAGAATGAACCTTCATTAACCCATGCTTGTTGTAAGAGGCGACTAACAGGATCGGGTGGTCAGGCTCGCTGGCTTGGTTGACACATGTCATCGGTTCCCAGTTGCGCAGATCGATGCTCATGCTGTTAATCACTGGATTGTCTGGTCCAGACTCGATTATTTACAGACCGCTGCCATATAGTTGGAACATTGCTGAGTGCGGTGTAAAACTAAACTCCCTGCTACTTCTTTTTCTACCTCTGTTCCTACCTCTACCTATCTTTCTACCTCTGTTCTACCCTATCCCAACTTATATTTCCACCTCTGCTTCTACCCGTCCTTCCTTTGTTTCTACCTCTGCTTATGCTCCTACTACCACTTCTCCTCCTCTTCCTCTGCGACTACCTCTTCTGTTCTACTTCTACTTTTACTTCATCTACTTCGATTTCAACCTCTGTTTCTACATTTACGTCTACTTCTCATTTAATTCTACCTCTACCCGTATGTGTATGATTCTTTAAAAGTGAAACACTGTTTGTATTTATCCGTGTGTTCCATATGATAAGCGTTATTTTGTAGAAAGAAACACGATTCAGATTTAATACACTTTGTATCACAATCGGACAAACTTCAATTAAGAAAGTATAATGTCTGATGTCTGATGTAATGTGTTATACACACATCAGTTCCTCCAGAACAACCAAGTAGACATAAGTGAAATACGAGTTTCACTATCTGTGCACACATGCAGTGTTATAACCAATGACCTACAACATCAACGTTGATACATTTTAAGTTTGCAAAAATATTGTTTGAGTTCTTTTCTAATTTTCCCGTGTGTGGTACCTTTAACTAATTAGATAACCTGTGCTTAAAATCGAAGTCAAAGTGTATTCTGGTGTCTTGTATGTTTTCGTTGAAGTATTCTGTATTGTAATATAGTTTTGCTTGCATAGGCCCGTTTTCGAGAGATTAAAGCAATTTTTACTGGAGTCGGTTATAATTGCTGTATTTGCCTACATATTTCTGAATGGTTTGTCTCAGCTGTTGTTAAACTGGTCATTATTATTTTCATTTCTTTTTGTTTCCTCTACTGTTTCTTCAGGATATACATCTGCTTTGCATGCTGAATGTTTTTCGCTTTGAAGACAAATCTGATACATGCACATACGTAAGGCTGATTAAGCTGAATTAATGTTTTATTCATATTTGTAATCAAGGCAAATAATTTGTTTGTGTAAAAGTGTCTGTGTGAAGTATCGCGAAACAGAAGAGGGACGGTAGGGTAGCCCAGTAGTTAAAGCGTTCGCTCGTCACGCCGAAGAACCGGGCTCGATGACCCACATGGGTACAGTGTGTGAAGCCCATTTCTGGTGTCCCCCGCCATGATATTGCTGGAATACTGCTCACTCACTCACTCACTCAAAACAATAGATATTCTTTAATACTGTATTAAAGGAGTACTTAGCCATATACAACATCCTTAAACACGCACCCACAAACACTCATTGGTAAATTTAAGTAATCCTGACTTATACTGAATTCCAAAAGAAACGCGAATATCACAAGTGTTTGAAATTACATGGAATGAAACATAAAACGGGGATAAGTGGTGTGTTCGATGCTCAGATGGTCATTCCTCATCGGTTGTGTGTTCGGATGATACCGAAGTGGCTGCGAATGGGGCCATAATCGATACTGGACTGTCATTTCCAATGGCTCTAAGGTGACGTTAGCAAATGGCGCAATCTATCGTCTTATTTACTTTTACACAAGTCACCTCAGGTTATGAATCAAGATCATTTATGTGTTCACTTATGTGCTGCCATGCGCTCTCATACAAATCTTATGGACAAGGTGGTTTCCAAGCTCACGAAGTCCAGATTAAAGAGGTTTCAGTGTATACGTTTATCACGCTGTGACAGGACGCTTCACCAGTCGGCGTTAAACTCATGTAAACAAGTATCTGTCAAACTGTAGCTGCTAAATATAGACTTGCATTGTAATGTGCCTCCGTATATGTTTATTTTTCGTACATCAAGTACATGAACTGCCATCGATAATAGTAAAACAAACCCGAACGAATAAACTATTTGTTTTCGCTCAAGTACATGAACTGCCATCGATAATAGTAAAACAAACCCGAACGAATAAACTATTTGTTTTCGCTCAAGTACCCAAACTGCATGATTTAGGTCGGCATAACCGTTAGTGGCCAAACACAAAATGACTGTCACTGAATTAACGTGTGTGTTTAAAAAATTAAGAAGAAAAAAGAAGTTGTTATCCATTAAACGTGTTATTGTATTCATGCTCTTCCAACTTCTAAAAGCCTTTCAAGAATTTCAGCAGGAAGACGCATTTCGACAAAAAATTATTCAACAGCGGCAGTATAACAAAATGTCTAGTTTTTGTCAGCAAAGTTTTATTCATGACACTACATGCTGAACTACAGCATGTAGTGTCATGAATAAAACTTTGCTGACAAACACTAGACATTTTGTTATACTGCCGCTGTTTAATAATTTTTATTTGAATGCTTTGTGTAGATATTTGAACCACTGACACATCAGGCATGCTGGAATATACAGTGCCGACAAGTCAGCTGCTATTTTATTCTTATTTAAATATTCAACCGATCGGGATGACACCATTATGTCTTATCGCTTCAGCTGCTTGGTAAAATATGTTAAGTAGGGCCCAGATTTATTGTCTCAAGGCTTAAATGACTGTATTGTGAAGCTGTGACAACCGAAATCCATACTTCTGTACACGTACTATACCTGCACCATTTGTTAATACAGCGATGGGGTAATCCGAAGATTTCACCGAGATCGATACCGTCCGGATTAGCCAGGTTTCACTGTACAAAATATAACAAATTTATCCATCAACTATATTGTTGGGCCTTCGTACGCATACACACACGCACACACACCCACAAATAGACGCGCACACATATATACTGAATCGCAAAAGAAACGTCACCTTTCTAAACCAAATGCAAAATGTTGTTCTTACAAGGTGGCGTTTTATTATGATTGTAACGTCTTGTTAACATGTCATGGATGCCACACACGATACTGACCTTCAGGTATCTTAATGGAACCATTTTTAGTGATTTTGTTTGTGTGAAGTCTAAATGTGATTCCCGAACATGTGTAAACCATAACTGTCAAGTTTGAACTCAGTCCTCCGGTTTGATTGTTAATTAGAGTGAATCAAAGTATGTGCTTTCAGAAACCTAAATCGATGTGCCGTTTCTTTCGAGTTTCAGTATATATGTATACATGTGGGTGGGTGTTTGACTGTCAGTGAGTATTACACTGTATGGTTTTCTTTTCCCTTGACTACACAGGGTTCTGATATGCATAATGTTTCGGAATTCAGAAGGTAAAGATAAGCATAAGTTTTTCAATCAATATACTTACATATATAGATCATTTACTTCACTGAATTTTATTTACATGAATAATTTAAGTAAAGAGAGTGTGTCTTCTGGCTAATGTCACCCTGATTGGTAATTTAGGTAAGTTGAAGTATTTCTGATTTAAATTGAATTCCAAAAGCAATGCGAATATAACAAATGTTTGAAATTTCATGGAATAAAACGTAAAACGGGGCGACATGGGATGTTCGATGCTCATACGACCATTCTCATCGGTAGTTTGTTCTGATGATACCGAAGTGGTTGCTAATAGAGGCCATACTTGATACTGAAATGTCATTTCCCATGGCGTGTAAGTGACGTTACCAAATGGCGTAATATGACATCGTCTTATCGACATTATCGCCAGACACATCTGGTTGTGAATAAAGATCATTTATGTGTTCACTGATTGACTTCTTTTCATGCACGTTTTCAAACACACACACACACACACACGCACGCACGCACGCACGCACGCACGCACGCACGCACACACACATATATATATCTATCTCTTGATTCACACTGAATCCGTTTTATATGATTAGCGTTTCTTTTGGAACTGCGTATATGTTACATACCACTGTTATGCTAGTTACATGACGTGTGCCGATGTTAATCAGGTTAATTTTACAGACATAATTGCAGTTTGAGTTATACAGATAGTTATAATTATCTCACATCTTTTTGATGTAACTATTTGTCAGGAAGCTACAGTAACTAATAAAAATACGTGTATTTGTACAGTGCTGACAAGTAACAGTTCATATGTACAAGGAAAT